CAAATAAATTTAACTCACAAACAGCTAGTCTAACATTACTTCCCCATATTAGCAAAACATTTGAGCATCATACATTAAATATAATAACTTACATATGCATGGAATGTGCATGTTATACTAGCACAGATGAAGTATAGATGAACTTACACAACGGATAATAAACACTCTTCAGCAAACAAACCTTGTAATAAACTTTAAAACATATTTCAAATATTATGTTATAATACGTTATTATTCGTCTTACTTGAAACCATGCTCTTGTCTTCTGCTCGTCATTTATTTGAAAATAGCTTGAGTGTTTCTAGCAAAATTCAAATACTTCCTTAGACAAATGAGATATCAATCAGCATCAAAAACTACCAGCAGCAAATAAAACCCAGGACACACCTCTGGCTCCGCCACTGCTGGAGAGGAACAAATTTGTCTCAGGAGCTATGTTTTTTTTTTTTTTTTTGCTGTTTTTTTTTTCTGCAAATACACAAGAGGCCGCTGTGTATGATTTTTCAGATCTCAAATTTCTCCTGTGAGTGCCATTCATGCTCTTCTCATGTAAATCCACCAGCGGCCACTGTCAACTGACTGCTACTTTGTAGCTGCCTGCCGCTCTGGGTGGCGACCTGCTGCAAATGCAGGTCTGTGTTTGTATATATGAATGAATCTGGCCTCACGTGAAAATCATGTGAGCTCTACTAGTGCTCTTATTGGCTGTTGCTCAAGAAAATCACTCTTCATTTGCATAAAGTTAAAGGATTCTCAACTTTGTTGCATCAATTGACATGCCCACCTGGTCGCCAACAGTCACTGTCGCTCGCGTAGACGGAGGTCGCCGGAAGTCACTCGCGCTCCGTTGGAATGAACAGTCGCTTGTCGCTTTGCTGCTGCGAGTCACTCATAGAGTGAATGAGGCTTGAATGACTGACCGACCAACTAACCAGTCCACCTTCCCTAAACCCAACCGATAGTGTTTTCAAAAGAACTGATTGACCATTAGTATGTACACATATGCATTAGCATTAATTACATATGGTGCACTAAGCTACAAAGCTAGTAAATGTTACTTTATCAAAGTTATCAAAAGCAAAACAAGTGGTTTTAGATTAAATATGTAAAATGAATCTATTACATTTCTTTACAAATACATATAATTACACTGAATACACTGCACACGTAATAAAAAATGCATTAATTATACAAAAAAATGCACTGAGTAAGAAATAGGGCTCTGTCAGCAAAGTCACTGTCCAAACAATCACAAACCAAACAGATATCATTTTGCAGTAGAAACTAAGTATTAAGTTGAGCACTTTTAGAAATAGACTCCTTTAAATCACCTTTTTGTTGTTTTACATTTTTCAACAAAGTTTCAAAATGAAAACATGGATGTCAAAGCTTTCAGACACATCGGTTTTGTTTAATGTTGCACAACACAAACTGATGCCAATCGGGAAAAGTGACTGGCATTGAATATTTTGCTTTAGCTGTTCTAATAAGAAAAAGAGGAGAAGAGAAAGGGGGGAGAGAAAGGTCCATCACTCATCTGAGAGAAAATACATAAAGAGGGAGCATGGGGTGGTGGGGAGGGAGAGAGAGTGATCAGATGATGTTTGGCTCTGGGCATTAGGAAGTATCGTATGTGACACCTCTATGTGAGAAGGTTACGGCAGACCACTGTAAGGGCCCATGTAATACTTGCACAGGACACAGGAAGAGCTGACTACTGGACTTCACCTCAGTGCTGTCTCTGTCATCTGACTAGCTTTCTCTCTCACACACACACACACACACACATAGCCATTAAATATATCAATATGCCTTTAAGTCCAGAGTGCTCTAATTGAAGAACCCACCCAAACAAACTTACAAAACATTAATCAGTTCAATATGTGGGTCTGTAGTTTAGAAGATATGTGTTGCAGTTAAAAGGTACATCAGAAGGTATGGCTGGTACAGCTCAGTAGGTACTGCATTTGAATTTTTTACTTGACCGTTAGAAAAGTTCTATACAGTTTGAATATGAGTGGTATGAATAGAACTCGACGTACCATAGATATTTACTGTAGATGTCACCTACACTGTTGTTGTCTATTGAAAGGAATGCACATATAGAGCCACTATTTTAGTACACGGTAGCACTCCTTTAAATGAATGTGGACCTAAGATGCAGTGGAGGACTGGCCAGCCAGATATATACACATATAAACATATATCTATGATCGGGAGTTTTTCCTGCAGTCAGATTGCAAATATTTTTATAAATTACGAAAATTATAAATTTACATCACTTCTTTATATCGATGGATAAGTGATCGCACGTGCATTGCTGACAAAGAGCATCTGTTTGTGTGCATGGAAATGTATTATCCTTTCTCCCTGTTAAATTTGGTCTAATCCATGTCCTGATACACACCCCCTCTCCCGCTTTCACTTCACATTCTAACAGAGGAAGCTATTGTGAATGAATCTGTAATGAACAACTTTTGTGAACCATCGATAGCCTTGTGTCTCAATGTGCACATCCACCTTTCTGATCTAAATGGTATATAATTTTTTTAATATATTTAATGATTTAGGGTGGACAGTATGCACATTGAGGCGCAGACACTATTATGTTATCAGGCACCCTTATAAGTTACTTTTAGAACTTGCCTCTACTTCACTTAGCCAACAATAATGCAAGTTTCTAGCACTGCCTCATCTTATTCAAACAAACTAGTTAGCCTAGTATTTAAAGCAAGTTGGTGCTACGTTGCCTTATGGTCAGTGCAGTAAGAGACTGATTACCATCAAAAACATTACTTTTTTACCACAAAAGTTTGTAACATACAAAAAAGTAAAAAACGAAATCTTACCATGAAATGTTCTGCCTTTATGCTTTGTTTTCTTTGTTTACTCATTACAACACCTGTTTGCAGAGCTAAAGTCCAGCATCTTTACATTGGCTTTAGTCTTGACGGTTGAATTACATTTGTCCCGGGTAGCCCTGTTCAAATGTGGCAACTCTATTGATGCATGCTCAGGATCCATATGCGATATCTAGTGTATATATCTATGGGATGTACTACATCCGCCATTTTGTCATGATCATGTGACCTATCCGTGTGAGTTGCATCACTTCACTCCTATTCATGAATTCTCTCATTGTGCATAATCGGATAGCATTGCATCCAGCAATGTGCAATTCAGAATTGTGCCAGAAGTAGTTGGTCATCTGCACTGTAAAAAAAAAAATGTTGAGCAAACATAAAAAAATAAGGCAACTTGATGCAGTAAGAACTTTGAGTTGTCTCAACAACTGTTTTTTAGTTCTTCTCAGTAACAATATTTAGTTGAGCTAACATAATTTTCTTTGTTCATGCAATATTGATTATAGTATTATACTAATAAAGATATTCTTGTCACATCAACTAAAGCAACAGTTACTGCTATTGAGTCAATAAATTTTTTTCTGTTTAGTGGATGTTTATTTTCAAATTTGCAAAATACGTAATTAGTACTAGTTAGCATATCATTTTGTTTTAATCATTCTACTTACAAATGACAAACACAAACTTACTACTTCTTCAATTTATTTCCACTGAAAGCAACAGATAACACGCTTTACAATAGGAAATAGCACAAACATTTGTAAATATTTTAAGATGAAAAGTGCTTCAAATTACAAACTTTGCAGTATACAAACTTTTCTGCTAATTTGCAGGCACATATGCTAGCTTTAACATTTTAGCTGCAATAACAGCACAGAAATAAACAATTTAAACATTGCATTTGACACAAACTAAATTTGCTTTGAATGCTTTTATGCACAAATTATAAACAAAAGGGTTGATTTGGACACCAGTTTCCATAAACATTTAAACCAAAACAAAAGTTAAGTGCTTGGGTGTCTTGACAAAATGTAAACCTTTTAATTTTAAAACCTTTAACGGTAACTCTTCATAATAACTACACAAAACGAATCATTAGCAAAGCATTAACAAATAGTTAATTAATTATCTGTTAAGCATTAACTCTACATTATAAGACGTTAGTAAGCACTTTATAAATACAGCTACAAATGCTGTTATAAGCTCAAAATGTGCTTAATGATTGTATTTCATACTTTGCTTTTTATTAATTGTTCCTTACTGAATTCAGTATTGCATTATTTACAAACCATTTGTATTTAAGTGTAGCTGGTGGTTTTTAAGATCATTCAGCATGAGGTAGTAAATTATTAATGGAACTATTCAAATTAACAATTATATATCTTATTATTCAGGCATATAGTAATGGTTACTATGTATGTTAATAAATGCTTTTTTTAACTCAACTTCATCCATTTTTGTGACCTAATCTAAAGTGAGACTATTTTTGCTTTATAAATCTCTTATAAATGACAATTAAAAGCTGAGTATCAAATGAACAATAAATGTTTGCAATCTAATCTAAAAAAATAAAATTACTGTAAACTTTAAACATCGCCGAATAACAGAAATGTCAAAATACAATTAGCAATAATTACAATTGAATAAAATTGGATAAAACAATATATTATGATATAACATTTCAGTGTTATTTAGTAAAGTTTAAACTGTACAGTAACTTCATTTTAGATAAAGTTGCAAAGATTTTTTTTTTCATTTGATAGTTTCATTTGTGTATCTTTAAATAAATAGAAATGAATTAAATAGTTCATGCTCTTTTTCCCTGTTCGGAATATAACTGAGCATTTAATTGTCATTTATAAGGGATTTATAAAGCATAAATAGTCCTCACTTTAGGTCACAAAACTGGATGAAGTCGAGTTAATAAAGCATTTATTAATATATAAATAAACTAATAGTATATGCCTGAATAATAAGATATATGAACGTTATTTGAATAGTTTATTAATAATGTACTTTTACATTCTGAATGATCTGGAAAAAACCAACACCTATTCTTAAATAACTGATTTGTAAATAATGCAATACTTATGTAATAAAAAAAAGAATCATTAAGTATGAAAATGCAATTAATTACAATTTAAGAATATAGCATTTGTGGCTATATTTATAAAGTGCTTATTAATGCCTATTAGAGTTAATACTTAACAAATAATGAACTAACTATTTGCTAATGCTTAACAAATGATTCATAGTGTGTAGTTATTATGAAGTGTTACCCATTTAACTGAACACAGTGCCTAAACAGTGGCTCTCATGAAACAGATTTAGTACTCAAATTGTACATTAGGTCTTTGTAACATCAGACCATTGACACAACACTGTTTACAGTATTAGTTTAACATCTTGTTTTTAAGAGAAAGCACACGTTGCGTACATCCAGTCCCAAGCTCCATGAAAACATTCTGAATTGTGTCAAAAGTGTACCGGAGTTCTTTGGGATAGGAAAAGTTGAGTGCATAAAGAAGGCCAAAGAGGTATGCTACAGCACTTGAGGTATCTGGAATGTCTTCCAAAACAACAACCTCTTCCAGTACAACAGCAATGTTCTGGATCACTGGAGATGCTGCCCGGGAGTCCTCTTCCGTAACATAGAGAATGCCAACTGATACGCCCTTTGTTCCATCTTCAGTTTCCTGTGAAAACACAATAAGAATATTTGAGCATAGAAAGTCATTATAGTACTTTATCTACAAACAAGCAAGATGTTATATTGCAAATATAGCTGTCATGCTTATGAAATTTAGGTGACGATTAATTGTCAAATAAAATATTCCAATTAATGGTGATTATAGAGATTTAAAAAATTTTGCAAGTACTTGTTTATTATAGGGCTATAACAACACACACATTTAAATAATTGTAACAAAGTTATTTATTCAGTTAAAAATATATACCATTATCTTTCAGAAATATGAACATTCTGTAAAAATAACAAACCAGCATAATACAATGACTATGCAAACTTAATTGCAGTTAAGCAAAATGACCAGTTACATCAAATAGTTATGATCATAAAACTGCTATGTAATGTGTAGTTTGTCTGTAGGAAGACATAGTGTTATAATTCAAATCATTAAGCAAAAGCGAATGTAACAATTAAACAGACAACATGTAAATAACAAGGATTCATCAGTATTCATATGCAACATTAATGCAGTAATTGGACTTTAAATATTTTAAGTGATTTATTTTAAAATACTGTCATAAATGAATAAATACATAAATGCTGATTTGTTGTACTCTGAATAAAACAGCTGCCATTTTGGTTGACAAGAATAACGTTTCAGACTCTCGGCACAACTCTAATTTTATATAATAACAGACAAAGCAACAGTTTCTCTTGCATCTCTTTTACATGTTCTTTCCCTTAACTACCTGCATAAATCAGTGAGCAGGTCTAAACTGGTACTAATATAGAACCTGATATCAATCTTTTAAAAATAACAAGATACTTGTGAATCATGAAATTTACTTCTTATACCTTAAGGTCAGAAGATTTGTAATTTCTGTTAATGATACCTAAATTAAACATTTTAACTCAGCTAATCAAAAGTTTTCATGAAAGCTCCAAATAGATTGGCACTCAACTTTTCAAGACACCAGCAATACAGAAGCAAGTTTGGACACTCATGCTTTAAACCATTTAAAGTGTTTGATACCTACTTTACATTTCTTGAAAAGGTTAGTGTGTTTCTCTCGAAGAAACAAAGGCAGGCCCTCCAAAGCAGCAGTCCTTCTGTGATTAACAATTTCTGTTGTCTGCAAAAACATAAAAAAGATACAACCAAAAAGTCACAGAATAACAACTGAAATATCATCAACTACATAGATCAAAAACATGTAAATAATGAAAATTATTAACTTACCCTTTCATCAAGTCTTTCCAGGAGCTCTTCCATTTCATGTCCAAACGCTCCTTTTCTGGCTCTGTATAATTTCAGAAGCTTTGGTGTGTACTTGTCAGTGGCTGCCATGAAGACTCCTAGTAGGTCTTTGTTGGTGATGCGGAAAAATTCCTCACAGATCTATTTAAAACAAACCAACCAGATTTACAGCAATCAATTTTTTCTGTAAACAGAGCATCTTGCATTCTGTAAACTTAAAGCCTAATAAGTAAGAAAAAAATTATCTTTACCTGTTCTTGAAAAAAGAGTGCAGGCCACCTCTCCTGAACCTCTACAATCATTGGCTGCTCTTGGACCATTTCTTTTCTTCTAAGGGAAAATGTTAGTTCCATTTTTTCACTTATGGCTGCCATGTCTCTTCTTGCCTTTTTGGTTTCCTCTACCAAAAAAACTCTTTGCTCTTCAAGTGAAGTGTCAGTGTGGTTGCATGGATGTTCCGGTACATGATTGACTTCTCCACGCTTTGCCTTTTTCAGAGTGAAACTCCTCCGACCACTGGCATCATCGTTTCGCTTTCTGTTAACAATTACTTCATTGCAACCTGCCTCTCGCAACTTTGCCCTATAATTGTTTAGCTTGTTTTTGATGCTGATCAACCATCCCTCAAAACCCTTTCCTTTGCCAGGCTCCTTAAGGCAAGGATATTTTAAAACCAAAGCAGATGCAATGGATTCAATTTCCTGATTGTCAGGGTATGCCTTTATGTCAAAAACTGTCTGCACTATTTTGTCAAGAATCTCTATTTTCATGTCTCTAGTCACATCAATGCCTATTTTTGTTTTTTCAAATGCCTCATTTCCTCGTCTTAGTTTTAGCTCCACATCAAATGACAGCGCTGGTATGGGGAATGGCGAGGGCCATTCTGAGGCAGTACGTAAATAGTTTTGCACAGAGCCTGAAGTGCTTGGCAAGGATTCTTCAGAGTCGAGACTAGCAGTATCAAGTGATGAAACTGATGGAAGGCTACTGCTTTCATAAGCTGATGACTTGCACCACTGAATATGCAAGACTGCTTTTCCACTGGGCAATTCTGAGATGTCAGACAGGTTGCAAAGTGCATTGCCAAAATCAGCATCCTCAAACTTAAGAGAAAACTGTCCTTGTAATTGCAGCTTCTCTTGAAGAATAGTGATGAGAGATTCCACTGATTCAGGCACTTCAGGAAGCTGGACTCGCCGGGCTTCAGTGGAGGAAATGATGACTCGTAGTAGCAAAGGCTGTAAATAAACAAGAAGCCAATTTTAATTACTAAATTTAAGCAATTAATAAATTAATTAGTTAATGTGGTACATACCATTGTAAAGGACATTTAATGCTGCAAATAGGTCCTCAGGGTCACGAACACTTTTGATCCCACACTGTATGGAATTAATGGGTGATAGCCATTTAGGTCACCAGAGTCAAAGATAACCATGTCAGTATAGTGGCTTTCAACAAGTTCATAAGATCTCAAATGTTCTAAATACCAGGCAGAAACCCTTTTTGTTATAAAGAACACTTTGGCAGAATGGATCAACATGCTTTCTATTCTGAAGAACTCAGGCTGTCCATTGCAGTGTCCTGCCGATATGATCATGTTCTTGGCATATCTAGTTCCATGAAGACAAACGTCTCTGGACAGTGACACAGTGTGCAACTGTGGGAACTTTGTTTGTACAGCATGCCTCAGGGTTGCATCCAACAATGATATGCTAACCACATCCAACTTTTCAACATGCAAGTCTGACTTTAAAAGGCTTTGTGCATCCAAATGGTATGCAATCATCTGTTGATGTTTCATGGAAAGAGTGAGAAGTACATTTTTCATGTTGTGGGCATCACGTGCAACCTTCTTGAAGAAAGAGTGCTTAGACTCAAAGCGCATGGTCCACAAAGTCACTAAAGGTCCAAAACATTTAGTTAGTTCTGGGTAGTGTTCGATAAAGTGATGCTTAGGCTTTAATGCATAGTCCGGAAAAGTGGAAGTAAGAAGCAAGCGGTGGTCAGAAAATTTAAATGACAAGTAACACAGAGTTTCATCAGAGAGACTGTTTGACAAAACAATCTCAACTATTTCTTTTAGGTCCATTAATATGTCCCATGATGGCTCATGCTCTGGGATACGATCCCCAATCATCAGAGGAAGTAAGCGCAATAACGTCCAATTTTCGTGTCCATTTCCTCCGATTGATCCTTTAGCAAGACTTGTTTTTAGAATTGTCTTTGGTTTGTTGACCCTGTCAGAGTACTTGTAAGGAAATGTTCTAATGGAGTGATTTACTCCTTCAAGAGTAATGAAACCTTTGGAAATTAAGTCTCTGAGGCACAAAGATAACTCCACAGGGATGACCCCTTCAAAGAAATCATGTAAAATGTCCGGGGGAAATCCAGTTACAGGATGAAAGTATCTTAAGTGTTTGCTCAATGCACACTCACTCTTTATACCATTAACACTCTGAACAGCACTCTGCTTAAGCTGTTCTACAAATAAATCATGTTGATCCACAGTTCTCAAAGGAAAGTCACATGGTTTTACAGTTGAAATCTGATCACGACTAATCAAACAGAATCGACAGAATTTTTCTACATTAAAATTTTCCTGAAAACCAGCAAGACCATGTGCTCCAAGATTATCGGCACACACACAGAATACAGTTGGTTTTATATAATGTCCTAAAGCTTCCACAAACAAACCTTCATGCTCCAGAGATTTTAACTCTTTTATCAAAGGTTCAAGAAATTTGTCAAATCCAAATTTTTTAACATCAATACTTTTTCCTAAAACAGCTAACTGGATTGATGATAAAGTAGATCTTAAATTTGCAGGTAAATTTAAGACCACCCAGTACACAGCAGTGATTTTATGGATTTTTCGAGATGTTCCAAGAGGGTTGCAAATTTCAAACTCATCCACATAAAAGGCTAAACTTAGTTTAACATCATCTTCTGTAACAAATCCACTTTCCCTGTAGTACTTTCCATCTTTAAATGAGCTGTATTGTCCAGGGAGATGTTTATGTGTAAATTCAATGTTATTTAAAAAGCTGTCTTGATTTAACAAGGTTTCAAGCAACCGAATGACTGGAACATGAACAAACACTTCTTTATGAGAATGCTCATAAAGATATTCAGTAGGTTCGATTACAAAAAAGTTCCTTTTGAAATATTGATTTCGTTTATAGTCAGTAGACAAAGTGCCCTTTTCAGAAATTGATGCAAAAAGTGGATTTGTTAGACAAACAGAATCTGCAATTTCCTTGATTACAACACTTTCAATGTTAATATTGTGCTTTGTTACAATTGTTTCTATTGTATGAAGAGCATGAGATTTTGAGAACAACAAAATACTTTTAAGTTCCTCAAAAATTGTCTGAGTAGCACTTTTTGAGACATGCAAAACAGTTTGCATACACAATAAAAGTGAGGCGATCTTGCGTTCAAGTGTATGAACATTTACATCTTCAACAGACTCTATTATATCCTCTTCATCAAATTCACTTATATTCTGTGTTGTACAAAGAACTTCTGAGACTCCGAGACTATCTGAAACTATCTGAGACTGTCTGTCACTTAAGGTTTGATTTCTATGATTTCTGCTTCTATGCGAGCTAAAGGTTGGGCGGTTGTTTGTTTTAAATCCACATCCTTTAAAGGGACACTGAATTGTTTCTTTACGTTTCAGATGATTTTGTAGGTGAAGAAAAAATCTTTTTTCAGTACAAATCTCATGAAATTCACATAGTCCACAATTAAAAGTTGAAAGATCTCGACTGACTCTATCAGTGTTGTGGTGTGATTTAGATAAGTGGGATCGTAAAGCACCTGCAGTTTTAAAAGCACAAACACACTCCGTGTAAAGACAGGGCCAGTTGGAAATTCTATGATGATGTAGCTGATAGTGCTTCAGAAGGACATCTTCACTTGAAGTGCTGAATTTGCAGTTTTTACACTGCATGAAGTCTTGAGGAGATCATCCTGAAAACAGAAATAATCAGTTATAACCTTGTATTGTTAAATCACAACTTTAAATAAAATATAATTCTTACAAAAAATATATTTGAAAAAGCTTCACATTTAAAATTTTTTAAACATTTTTCAAGTTTATGCCCCCATATTTTAACATGAAACATGTTTGGGAGCAGACAATGATATCAATATCAATATATGATATTGATGTATACAGAGGAGTCCACAAATAATGTAATATAGTTAGTAATAATATATGCTTTGAAATTAAGACTATTTTAAACCTAATAGGAACTATTTATATTAATTTGACAGGATTAAATAACGTTTTCGGCAATATTTTATAAATAAAAAATATAAACTACATTTACATATTACTTTATCTAATATAATCTGAATATCTGTGCTTTATATATGCTTCACAAATTTATAAGTACAACTTACGGTCTCTCACTCGCTCTTAGTGATGGGAAGTTCAGATCATATTACTGATTTGGACCTTTGAGTCTCATTCGTTGAGATGAACAAATCTTTTTTTCAAGTCATTTCCATCAATTTGCCAAAATATTATTAAAATGATACAGGTTATTCCAAACGCATCTACAACTAGCCCAGACGTTGATCACACTACAAACAAGTCATAACTTGAATGCTATAAGAAAAAGAAAATAATCGTTTGTTTACCTAGTCTTTTGTCTATGATAATGTGAGTTCAGCTATTCTGACAGGTCTTCAAATTTGAGGGGTTCGTCTACGTCACACAGACAGACCCATATAAGCTTAACCAAAGCACAGTCTGAACCGAAAGGAGCCATTAGTTCACCTTTCGAGTCATCTGGTTTGACTCGTTCGTTCATCACGTGACAGCATGTAAAGAGAGATGACTCAACGCCGAGGACTCGAAAGAAGATTTAAAAAAATTTCCGGCTCTGATTGCATTTCATTGGCTTATGTCTTTAACGTGATGAACGAATGACTTAAACCAGATAGAGGACTCGATAAATGAACTAATCTTTTCCTCCAACTGCACAAATGTGCGCATGCGCGAGTGGACAAATCACTCCTAGAGAGGACTCGTCGTTATCGAGTCATACAAAAGATTCGTTCAAAATGAACGAATCGTTCAAGAACGACCCATCACTAGGCGGCACACACGGAGAAGCACGTAAAATGAGAAAAATGTGAAAACTCGCCAGAGAAATGAAAACGTTTCACCTAAAAACAAACAAAACCTCTGAATTCCCTAACGTAAATGTTAATACTATGGTCCCATATTAGCCATCTTTTATCAGTGATTAACAGTTAAGCATAATGATGTAATTTTAGTGTTAACATGAAACATTTTAAACTTAAACGGCACAGAAAAGCAGTTTCCGTTTTTTTCCAAGTAATGTCTTAAGGAGCGGCACAAGCTTAACTGGCGTTAGGCAAACGACGACCGTGCCGAACTCACGGTCCTCCGCCCTCTCGAAGGTGCGGGCGTGGGCGGGAAGGATGTCGCGCGGGGTCTCCATGCCTCCCTGAGCGATTGACTCTGCCTAAATCCGCCACTTATGTCATGAATACACGGAAACATTTATGAGTTTGGACTTAGCTGAAACTATAGGCCACATTAATTACCCACTGCATTTGAAACTTCAGCATATGCAATAATTCTCGTCGCTAAAAACAAACCGTCAGGTTGTGAATATAGTAAAATTCATTGCATGCATAGAATTAGTGTTAATAAGTGTTGTTACTCACCTACAGGAACAAGTTAATGTTTAGTTCCTCGAAGAGTCGAAAATATGCGTGAAGTCCGATATGGCACCAAGACAAAATGGAGATGAGGAGCGAAACGAATGGTCAATATGGGGGAGGGTTGGCGCCGTTTTCAAACGTTGCGTCACGCATGCGCAATTTATTTAAATATCAACATACCTGTTCAACACAAAAATGTATGTCCAGAAAACTCTGGTAAACATGTAGACATAACATTTTAGCGAATATTATTGACATAACATATATTTTTATGTAGATCAGTAGTTATTCACAATTCTTAGTATATATGACAGAAAAAGTACAGTGTGCTGAACAAATTGAAATTTTATTTTTTACAGTGTGGGTAGTTCTCAGATACTGTCTTTCGAATTCTATAAATTTGGACATACTACTCGGCTTTCATACTGTTTTAGCATACTATATAGTATGGAAGTATGCAATTTTAGATGCAGACTATGTCTTGCATTTGAATATGCCTTTATTCATTCATTCATTCATTTTCTTTACGGCTTAGTCTCTTAGTCACCCCAGCGGAATGAACCGCCAACTTATCCAGCATGTTTTACGCAGCATATGCCCTTCCAGCCACAACCCACCACTGGGAAACATCCAAAAACACGCATACACACACACTATGGTCCAATTCACCTATACCACATCTTTGGACTTGTGGGGGAAACCAAAGCACCCAGAGGAAACCCACACGAACACAGGGAGAACACGCAAACTCCACACAGAAATGCCAACTGACCCTGCAGAGGCTCGAACCAGCAACCTTCTTGCTGTGAGGCGAACGTGGAGATCGTGGAGATCCGAGAACGTGGAGATCCGAGAAATTAAGTTTCTTTGCAGTTTTTCATTCGCGAATCCACCAGAGACTACTGTGCACACTTTTTCAGCTCTCAAATTTCTCTCACGAGTGCCATTCACACCTGCTCTGTTGGGTTTAGGGTTGGGGTGGGGGTAGGCATTAAAAATACAACTTATTGGATAATTTAATAGATAGCATAAATAATTCTCTGTACAACTACTGTTTTTGCGTTACTATGACAGTTGGATATAGGGTTTGGGGTGGGGGGAGAGGTTAATAAATAAAATAGATGGGAAATTTTATAAATAATATAAATAATTCTCGTTAACTTCCGGCCGCAACCGTATCCGATCTAGCAACAACCCCACACACACCGTTCCCTACACTTAACTGCAGTGTTTTCAAAAGCAATCCAGAAAAAAATCCCTCGCGGCCGTTTCATTTTTACCACATTTTCAGATCTCACCACATTCTCACTCTGTTATTTAATTGTTTATTTTATGTTTGGCCTTTGTTTTTGTTTTACCTGCTTTCTAGAAATTGTTTTCGGCGGATTTGAACCCCGTCATTGCGGTCCGCCAATGTACATGGTAAGCTACTGGGCAAACTGGTAACAGTGAAAAAAGCCAATCACACGGAGGTAAGTGGCCAGCAGGTAGCACAAAAAAAGAAACACAAGTTGTCTGCGGCATCATACCGTCCCATAGCGTTCGTTTTTAAAATAGAATGCAGTCATATGTAGCTCTGACTACATAATTCACGCTCTCCAGAAATGTATATGGGGGTACATATTCACAATGAGTTGGATGGATATGCTGTGTTTGATTGTATGTGTCAAAAGTTGGGTTTCCCTTTGCGGAATGAGAAAACAGACTACTGCCCCCTGTGGTGCAGCTTTTTGGTCCAGGCGGGACAAGATGTGAGCCAATGTGAGACAACAAAGCCGTTGAGTTTCGTCGGTGCTAGTTGTTTGGTCTTGGCTTGGTGTGCCTGGCTCTTACAAACAGCATTGCTGGTTTGAGGCTTCAAGCTTCATGCATGCATTATTATTTTTGTGTGTGTGCATAATATTATTGGACTTCCTACCAGGAGTGACTTAACTTCTCCAATAGCACATCCTGGGAGCACTGGAACTACTGTGGCTTTGGCTCTATCTGACGTTGCACCTCACAAGTCCAAATAAAGACATATTAACTGTGATTTTGACCCTGCTCCTTGTTAATAATTAGGAGAATTTTTCATTCTAACAAAAATATTAAAAGATACAATTTTTCAAAAGGAGGTGCACCCCTCAAAGTCTACCCTTAAACCTACCCTGTCATTGGGGGATGAGAAAATTGTACTAAAACATACTAATTAGATCATACAAATAAATATGAATTAGCCACAAAATCAAAAAGTTAGTAATTGCCATGAGATTGAGATGGGTTTTGCTCTTTCTTGAGATTAGATCTGTTTGAAAATACAAACAGTTCTCTGTTCTCAGTTCCACATGGAACAGACAGAATGATTGACAATTTAATTTTGAATAATTCATCCGAGTGTGTGAAGGTCAGATGATGATCTGCCTTGTGCCGCCCAGGACTTAGAGCAGAGGTGACACGGTCATCAAATATTTATTTACCCTGTGTACTCCCAATACACTCTCAAAATACACACACACTCACAAACACACACACACACACACACACACACACACACACACACACACACACACACACACACACACACTAACCCACCACCATACCCCTTAAACACTTTCTGACCAGTACTTAGCAAGAACTAACTATACTTTCCTTGGATCTCAGTAAGTGAACAAGTAAGTTTCCCAGCTATCGTACACTGCTTACAATTGATATGTAGTACCAAGAATTAGAGTAGCACAAGAACTGTTCCCGGGTCAGTGGGAAATGCACCAAAACCTTAAACAGTTTCGCATTTTTGTGTGCATACTAATGCTTGGTATGTGCAATATGAGCCTGTGTCATCTTGCTGCATCATGTCTTTTCTGGCTTCCAGTTGCGCATTACTCATGCACACAGGTGCAGAGGGTGTATGCTCGGTGTGGGCGGCAAACTGACAAGTTAACTTTAGGTAAGCATATTTTATTGCAACTTGAGCAATAACTGAATACATTTTGTGGTTTGAAATGTAATTAGTACAATTTACAACATATGAGTAAATAATTGACAAAGACATTTAGAATAGGTTGATAGTATATGGATTAATAATATTAGGTTTATAATAATTATATTATTAAATAATAATAATAATGATGATGACAATGACAATAATAATATTAACATTAATAATAAAAATGGCAATAATAATATTACATTACTAATAGTAATAACAATAATAATAATAATAATAATAATAATAACAATATTAACAATAAGAATAATCGTTTTTGTTTATATATATTATAATTATTTTTTTCAAATTCCCTTTTATTCATCAATGATTCAAATAATTGATTAAAAGTGACAAAATTGTCATTTATCATTTTAGATAATCTAAGAAAATCAATCTTATCTATTAAAAATAATAATCTGTTTAAAATGTATGCAGGTTCTCTTCTATCTATTTAGTATTATTCCTATTTAGTTAAAAATGTAAAAATGCATCACAATTTCTACAAAAAATATTACCAGGTAATAATAAAATTACTAATAATAATATTATTCATATTTATTAATTATTATTATTTATTATTATTAAGGAACTACGCTGAAAAGAAAATGAATGAATTGTCATTATTAGATGTAGTAGTAGTAATAGTATTTATTGAGCAACAAATTAGCATATTGAGGGCGACGTAGTGGCGTAGTAGGTAGTGCTGTCACCTCACAGCAAGAAGGACGCTGGTTCCAGCCTCGGATGGGTCAGTTGGCATTTCTGTGTGGAGTTTGCATGTTCTCCCTGTGTTGGCGTGGGCTTCCTCCGGGTGCTCCGGTTTCCCCCACAGTCCAAAAACATGCGGTACAGGTGAATTGGGCTAAATT